GTTTTTAAAGGTCGAGTTTGAGTAGCCCGTAAACCCTCGATTAGGCGTGGGGTAGGGGACAGGCTGGTGCTTAGGAAGTGGGTGACGGCATAGATGTGGAGATCCACTTCTGCATTTCTGACAAATCTTCTAAAAAACTGCGGTTGCGGACAGTAGCTTGCAGTTTCTCTGCTTCTCAGGTTCTAGCCTGTCTTACTCAGTTTAGAAACGACAGAATATTTAAGCACTCACATATCGGAAAAGCTTGTCCATCTTCTCATTGTAAAGAACGCGATCCGCCCAAGCTGGGCACAACGTGCGCATGAATTCTTCTTTACCAGTTTGCTCGTTGATAGCGTAATGTCGAGATGGCTGAAATGAGTAAGGTTATTTTATGTGGTATTACGGTAGCCGAGATCAAGCGGAAGAAGTCAGAACAAGACCGAAGAATAGAGAGGATCATAATAAAGCAACTTTCCGGAATAGGGGTCGGATGAAGAAGGGGATCGATCAGGTTCATAGGAGCTAGAGCAAAGTGCGACTAAGATGAGCCGGGTTGAGAAACTGCGAAAGTCGTGAACGTATCGGTGCCTTGGGAACGATGGCGTTCGTATGGGGTGTAGTTGAATGTATTTTTTTACAAAGGGAAGTCGAATAAAATTTGGGAAATCCTAGGAAATTGCAGGGTTTTGCAGAATTTTGAATTTATCTGGTTTCGGACTGTACCATTAACATAGCTCCATCTTACTGCTGGAATAAGTAGTAGGACCCCAAGTGGGGTTTTCGCCGTATTAGCCTGAGTGAGGTAATTTTTGCTAGATTTCCCGACGATGGGTTTGAGTAGGGTAAAATATCGAGAAATAAGGAACTGTAGATATTGTGCCGATAGGTGAGAATGGATGGAGCTTGAGATCTTTGAGGCGAATACACGCACTGTGTACCTCACTCTCATTCATTCCCTCTTTTTTCCTTTTCTCCACTCTTTTCCCCTTCTTCCTTCCTACTTGCTCCCTTCCAACGAAGAATCTGAAGAGTCTGGGATCTGAAGAGTAATAGATAGAGGTTTTGAATACCAAAGAGGAAATATGTAGATGGGCAAGTTTAGTTTCAGCTTTAGACTTCACAGCAGAATATCACAGTGCCTCACCTGGAAGAAGACACTTTGTTCCTTGAGTTGACCCTTAAACGTGACCGGAGCCAGTTCGCCATTGTATCTGGAATACAGCAATTTCGAAAGCATTACAAAGATTTCTGAGAATTCTAAGATCGAGAGAGCAAGGACACACTTCTTCACCATTTGTCCTCGACCAAGTCGGAAGAACCAGTCATGAATAGAATGCAAATCGAATCGTTGGCGTTCGACTGTCGTGACGTTCTAAAAATAAATATTCGACAATCATCAAAAGTTTACAATGTAATCGCGAAAAGAACTCGGACAGGCTCGACAACAGGAACAAAGAGATCAGGCTACTAATCGGCTGGGTGACGTGAAGCTAAAGGACAGCCAATACGCTCTAAATCGAAAGCTTTAGAAGTCTGTTTTGTGGTGTAACCTTGTCTCGCTTATTCTTTATTCCATTTCATTGCGCATTTTTATTGGTGAATTGTTGAAATATAGAAAAATAATTATGAATAAATACATAAATAGATAAATAAATATAAATATTATCTATAAGGAAAGATTGTTGTACTGTTGCCATTTATCGTTGCTTCCCACGACTGCCTTATGCGTCGTTTCAAATAAATAAAATAAATAATAAATAAATAAATAATAAATAAATAAATAAATAAATAAATTAAATAAGTCAAACTGGTTGTCATCATGCAAAAACGACCCCAGTTCTGTCCATCCTGTCTGTCTTGTGGGAATACTGTAATTATAGTGACGGACATGTATGCAAGAGCACAGAGTACTCATCTGGAGGAATGCTGTTGGATACGCCGCGTATCCAATTTCTATTGAAGTCATCAAAACGTTTTGTCGTGCACCTCAGCGGACTTAAAACCGTTTGGTGGCCTGCGGGCACAACCGACGTTCAGTGCGAATTCTATTCGTCCAGGCCAGTTTGTCCAGGTCATGTTCCTTATCTGGGATAGTTTTCAACTACACATAGAACTCTGTGGATGGATACCTAGGTAAATAGGCAGGCTCAAATACTAGTATGTATATGGTAGGACAAAATTACTCGTAAGCTGTGGCAAGCAAGTGACAGAGGCGATTCGAAGTTGATATCAAATGCAGCAGAAAAGTAAGTTGGTGCGTCAAACTGCCCCAGATGACCCCTGTGTCAAATATGAATGTCAAATTAGTGATCAGGCCATTTTTTTTCTACTCCTGTTGGAAAGATCAGAAAAATTTAAGGATCGGTGTGATGATTGATTAGCTCACCACATATGATGCTGCACTTTTTGTCAACTATGACTGACCCAAACTTGCTTGGGAAGCCCACACGGTCTTTTCGGTTTGAACAAAACGGGGATCTGGCTTGTGCCAATACTAAGACTTTGCGCGAGGTATGGATTGGATATTCAAGCCTTTCCTAAATTGTAATCAAATGAACTTGGGGAGAGGAACTCGTGATTGGCTTGGTCATGATTGATGCTCTGGCTAGAGCCTGCAGCCCCATGAGCTGCCTCAAGTGCCGGTGTAGAGAAATCAAATGCAAACATGATACATATACAGACACGGGCAGTGGCTGGCTCTGGGCCTCCTACAAATTCAAATCTTCTAAGAATTTATTGCGGTAGTATGCGGCTTGGCGCAATTTATAATGGATGGATTAAAGCTGAGAACCCTGTGTCGTCAGGTACCAAAGTAGCGAGAAGAAGGGGCGTAGTCAAGCCGACTGGCGGAGGTTAATTTAATGGATTAGGTTGCGGCTAATGAATAAAACTACATCCACTCCACCTCAAATCGTCGAGGTCGCGGTATACGTAATGTTTGCCCTCGACCCCGCCTTTAACAGGTTCTGAGGTGGACATCTCGCAAGAAGGGTTCGTCATGAGTTGACACGGATTAGCTGCTTGGTGTTATGAAAGTCATCTCTCTCCCTCTCTCTCCTGAGATGACGGACGATGGAGTTTGGCTACTGTGCGATGGTACCCGCGCGAGAAGAAACGGCCGCAAGGCCGTCCTCCTTTACGATGGGCAGATTCCCTAGCTCATCGAAACAACATCTATGATCCAGAGTCCTTTAGGGTGACCACACACTGGACAACCATAGCCCAAGATCGAGAACAATGGAAAAGAAGTTGGGACCCGCGCAAGGCCAACCGCCGTGCTGATGGACGGGTCGTCTAAGTATTCTAAGTAAGTGTTATGAAAGTGCACTTTGTTCTTGGAAATGACTGTTTTTGAATGAGAAAATGAAGCTCACCCTGCCATGTCGGTCATATTGCTCGATAGCTTCAACTTTCCCTGAGTCGTCTTTCTTTGCTACAGTTTGCACCATTTGCGTTTTAGCAAGATACTGTAAGAGACATTTTGAAAAAAACTGTCTGAATGGAGCTGCTGTAGAAACCAGTGCACTCGAACCGTCAACAAGTCCGTCTCGTGAAGTTGAGCGTTGAACGCTCCGCCGACGATTATCGCATCATCACGTAGACCTTCGGCCTCTAGTCTGAAAATGCTCGAATCAAACATATTCTCTCGGAATTGCTATCATAGCAAGAATAAAAGTGGATCAAATAGGTTCTGGAACTCTTCTATTTCAAAAAGATGTCATAAAATTAATGAATAAATAGCTATTGTCGCGTTCTACGGGATGCGCCTCGTATTTGACCTCCATTCAGCTACCAGAGTTATTGAATATGACAGCATGATCATAGCTTTTGTTCTGTATGATAGGATTTTGCGATGTCTTAGGGTACCGCTCATACTCTTGGCAATACTTTTGCTGGCGCTATCGCAAGAGTAGGGGGCTTTGTAGTGGCAACGCATTAAAATCAGGAAAATCATCCCGTTCTTGTTAAAATCGGGCTTAATCCTTAGAAAAGGGAGGAAAGACTCTAGATTGTGTGAGCAAACTTCTTTTCATTTGCCCGCAATCTCTGCCCCTTCCTGGCTCAGTCTATGCCCCCGTTTCTTAATAGAGCACCCTTTTGACCGCATCG